GTTTTGTTTTTCCCTGTGGTTTAATTTTTTCCAACAAAACTGCATGATTTCACAACATATTTTTCACTTCAAGTTTGACTTTCCCAGCATAACCAGGAAGAGGGTTCTTTTTGCAAATTCCAAGATTTTATCAATATTACCAATACCTTTGGTATGCATGGCGTTCTCTCCTATAATGGCTAGGCCTCATTATCCTTAAGGATTTCTTCTTTCTCAAATAATGCCTTGTTATATTCCTGCCACATCACTGTTTGTTGGTAATACTGCTTGTGATTCAGGAGTTCTTCGAGAGCCCTTTTTTTTAAACTTCATAAAATCTTCCATGTTTGGAAAATTTGAAAATTTACTTTATAATCAACTCACAAAGTATATTTATAAGAATATACTTTACAAGAATCATTGAGAGAGTTGTCCTGATGTTGACAAAGACGCCAGCGGTAAGCGAGGACTGATTTTTGAATGGGGACTGATTTTTTTAAGTGGTCAATTTAGTAACAAGTATGTTGGTGAGATTGTGAATTTACAATCTCTAAAACCTGGCAAATCTGTGCAGACTCCAATCATGAAAACCCAGATAACAAAAACTCCCTGGCCTTTTGTTTTCTTCTTGTTTCTTTTACAACCCCACCCCCATCCCACTAAAGATATCATTGATATCTTTTCATCTTCTTGAAAGCAAATACTGTAAAAATAACTAAATAGCATTAATAGAATCCCTTTGGCTTGTTGCTGTAGGAAAAGGATGGTGTGTAGAACTGGAGGGTGTTTCTAGGGCCCAGCTGCCTCAGGGACTTGTTCACTGAAGATGGGCCCACATCATTCAGAAAACAAGGAGAAAGGGCAGTGCCTTGACTCCAAAGAGCCTTCATGTGAAAGAAAATCAGCCAGCATTGCATGATCACTTTACCTTCCCAGGAACAGAGACCTGGAATTTGTCCTTTAAAACTCTCTTCCAATGAAGTCTTGAACCAGTGTTGAAGGCAATGACAGGGACAAAATAAGTAAGAGGTTGCGTCGTCTTGCGAACACGACAGTTTATTCGGAGGCTGTGGTTAGAGAGCTACCCATTAGAGAAGTCTTCTGAGCCCCTGTGTTAGGGCCCACCCACATCATAAGCTGCCCACCTCTCTTTAAGAGAATGACCCCTTCCCTTAGCAACTCACTCCATCCCAATCCACCCACTAGGACTGTGCTTGATACTCCAAGGTTCCTCAGTGACTTCAGGGGACAGACTGCTGCTGCTGCTGCAGATGTCTCCCGGGTCCTTTGCTTCTGCAGCTGGTTTCAAGCCTTCACACTGGTTTGTCTCTGGGTGAATTTGGCTGCCTGCTTCGGTTTTCCCATCAGGCCCAGCTTCAGTGCAACAACAATGGAACTTCAGCCATGGATACAGTCATAGTAGTTACTGTTCGCAGGTAACTCAACAAAGCTCTGTATAAGCATTCCTCTTGCTTAATCTCTGGAAATAACCCATTAGCAGCCCCAACTCTGCTCATTTTTCTGCAACAGAAATGACATTTTCTCTCTCATAGGTTTTTGTTTAAAAATGGAAAGCCAGTCAAATACAGGGGGCTGGATTATAGGGTTCCATAGACTGTTAAGCATCCAGACTGGATGCTTAAATTTTAATTACTTATTGATTTATTGATGTGATTTTTACTAAAAGTGAAAAATGGTGTAATATGCATGAAAAATAAGTGATTAGCTCTCTGTGTAAGTGCATACACAAGAGAGAGTTTCATGCCAATTATGCCTTATCTTTTACAAGGATATGTTTCCAATAAGGACATCTAGTTGCTGCCAGCCCTTTAAAATGTCTCAAAGTGCAGAAACATGTGACCATCATCTCTAACCCTGCGCATATTCTGGAGTGAGCAGTTACCTGATGTGGCAGGACTCAGTCACACTGGACGTGTGTAGTGGCTACATGGGAGAGATTTGGATATTTCTGCAGATGTTCACCCACAGGCAGTCAGCCCTTTAAATCTCCTGGGTTGTTGTTTGTTTGTTTGTTTGTTTGTTTGTTTGTTAACTGTGTCACTCTGACCATAACCAAAGTCTCTTGCTCAGAAAGTCATGTTTCTGAGCCAGCCCTATTCTAATAGCACATTTTGTTTTCATTTTTGTTCTTTTTCTTTTAAAATAAAAAGTATTATATGCCCTGGCTAGGTGGCTCAGGTGGTTGGAGCATCATCCCAGGCACCAAAAAGTCAGGGGTTCCATCCTCAGTCAGGGCGCATGCCCAGGTGCGGGTTCTGTCGAGAGGCAACTGATGGACATTTCTCTCTCACATCAATGTCTGTCTCTCTCTCCCTGTCTCTGTCTCTCTTTCTCTCCTCCTTCCTCTCTCTAAAATCAAAAGACATATCCTCAGGTGAGAATTTAAAAAAGTAATAAAATTAAAAGTAGAATATGCAGAGAGTGGCTACAGCAGACACTGTGTCTTCCCACTTAAAGCCTGCTCTCTTCCTCTTCATTGATGGCTGCTCTCTTCCTCTTCATTGATGGCTGCTCTCTTCCTCTTCATTGATGGCTGCTCTCTTCCTCTTCATTGATGGCGTGCTGATTTTATTCACGTGACCTCTCTCAGAAGCAGTCGCTCAGGGGGCAAATCCCAAGGAGTCTAAAGACCACCATGGTCACCTCGTACCCCTTAAAGGTGACTGGTTTAGAGGCAGGCACATGTCCCTATTCAGGCCAGTAAGATGAGAAATTATTGGGGTACTTAAGGGAAATGTTCTCTTGATGATAAAAAGGGGCACAAGAAATAGACAGTCCCTTCTCTTCCCCTGGTCATGGAGATGCCTGCCTGTGACGTCTGGAACTGCTGATGAAGCAAAACCCACAAAGGAAGATGGGGTGACGGGTGTAGTGGGGTCAGAGCCCCCACGGACCCCGCCTGGAGCCCTGCCTGCCCGTGGACAGCCTGCTCTGCGAGATAATAAATCTCCCTACACTTAAGCTGGTCGAGTCCAGGTTTTCTACTACTTGCTGCCAATGTGTTTTGACATAGTAGCCAAAAATAATAAATCAACCCATGTTGTGTCCTTTGCTTGGAGGGAGCTTCTGCCCTTGTTTACCTGGTGATTTTGAAGACTAGCCAAGGTGCCTACTCCTCACAGTGGAAAGAACCACTCCCTCATCCAATTTCCCATGAAACCGTGTATACACCGCCTGTTTATCCTCTTTACTGGGGCTTCTTTGTGGATTTGTCTTCTCACGCTCACACTGGAAGTTCCCCTTACAGAGGTACCAAGAATGCACCCAAAATTACACTGGGGGCACCGTTCAATAAAATGTTTACCAGCAAAGAAAATGCATTCCTGTGCACATTGGTTTATTGGAAAATATGTAGCCAGCGTTACAGACAATAATAATAGCAGGGATATTTATGGAGGCCATGAAATCGGAAGAGGGGCTGTGAAATCAAACTATCGATATGTACACATAGAGAAAGTCACACGGATGGCAAATATAAATGACGTGTGGCTGAAGTCTTCATACCAGGGTAGGGGAAGGGTGAAGCCTTGATTTAGGTTGCTGCAGGAAAAAGAGGGGGAACCAAGAGAGCAAGTCCTTCCTGAGGGTGGGCAAAAGGGACTGTGTGTCATGGAAGAATCTGGTCCTCTCTGGAAGAGCAGGAGCCTGATGGTCTGGCTTCTGGAAACGAAGGCCATCGCCCTCTGTCTCCACTACCATCACTCAGTCCTTCAGAATAGTAACTCGCCTCTCCTTCTGAGCAGCCACGTGGGGCTCACGGAGTCGGCCCAGCTCTGTTTTGCTTTCTGCTTCTTGACTAATAAACAGGAGTCGATTCTCCCCAAGGTCTGCCTCTGCTGCTGCTTTTGTTCATCTGTCCGGTTTCGATGCCTGGGGTGTAGCCACACATCTTTGGACTGTGGTTCTGATGTGTTCCCCCACCACGCTCAAAACCTTCTGCCCTCTCCCACACGTGGTCAGTTCCTGTGACGACGCCTTTACCACGTCTTTCCCATTGGCACCTTCCTCTGTACTTGTATGAGCCGCAGGCACGCAGGGGCAACAGGTTCAAAACTAAAACCCTTCCTTCCTGTCTTCAGGTTTAGAATTATTCTCCAAGGACAAAAAGGTGGGAAATATTTCTTCCTCCCTTTGTCTGTCATGTACTAGCTCTTTGTTAATCTTTATTAGTATGGCCACAAGGAACTATTTTATTTATATTTATGTAAATGTAAATATAAGACATACATAGATATAGAGACAGATAGATGATAGATAATAGACAGATGGGAAGAATTCAGTTCAGAGTTCAAGTTGGGACAGAACACCCAACTATTGTGATCAGAAGAGTTTCGTTCTGCCTTCTGACCCATAATAGTATCGAATTAATGTCAAATCCTCCAGTTTGCCCAGAAAGGCAGCAAACAAGTAGGAGCATGAGCTTCTTATTTTTGAAGTTTCTGATTTTTAGTTTCAGTCCTCCTTCCCATTTACACCCTTGGTTTACTTTAGTTACCTAACAGGCCAGCCTCTTGCTGCGAAGTTTATAAGCTCCTTTTTATACCTAGTCATCAGCCAGTGCCTGGACCAGAGTGGGGATTTACCTAAAATCTGATGAACAATTCAATGAATTTTTTACATCATTTATGTGCTTACTTCCCTCTTCCGTAAGGTAGAGCCTTTCAACCACAGCGTTCTGTACGTTCCCGGTGGGAAAGCACAGGTTATATATTTAAAGCCTGTTGCTTTGTTGCTTCTTTTACCCAACAATGAAGGAGGCGCCCGCGTTCTACGCGACCCGCCTTGGGACAGGTGCGCCCCGCCCCGGGGCGTCGCTGAGTGTCGCTGGGGCAGAGGGGCGAGTGAGGAGCGATCTCCCGCACTGTGGGCGCAGGGGCAGGAGTCCTCACGAGGAACACCCGAGAAAGGGGCTTTGGGGGGACTTCGACGTGAGCGTCCGCACCCTGATCCTCCAAGGCCGGCGGCTGGAGGCCTCACCTGCGCGGCAGGTGGAGCCGGTCATGGCGCGGCTGTGCGGGCCCGGGCGGAGCCGGGCGCTGCTGGCCTCGCTGCTGCCGCTGCTCTTCCTCCGGGCGGAGGCGGCGGACCGGGACCTCGGTCACTTTTGCAGGGTCCCGCCGGTGGCGGGGAGCTGCCGGGCTTCCCTGCGCAGGTGGTGGTACAACGCCACGGGCGGGACCTGCCAGCAGTTCGTGTATGGAGGCTGCGGTGGGAACGACAACAACTACCTGACCGAAGAGAAGTGTCTTGAGAAATGTGCTAATGTCCCCGAAAACGCGCCTGGCGATCGCCTGCCCACCGGCAGGAGTGGGGCAGGTTCCTCTGCGCCAGGGGTGCCCCCCCGCGACACGTTCCACTACGGAGAGCACTGCCTGGCCAGGGCGGCCCCCGGGCCCTGCCGCTCCTCCTTCCCGCGCTGGTACTTCGACGCCCAGAAGAACACCTGCCATAACTTTATCTACGGAGGGTGTTGGGGCAATAAGAACAACTACCTCTCCAAGGAGACCTGCCTGAGGCGCTGCTCCTCGGGGGGCAGGCAGGCGTACCCCGCGCTGCCCTGTGGCACCAGAGCCGTCCTGGAGGGGCTGTTCCTCACCGTCCTCCTCCTCCTGCTGGGGGCCTCCGTGGGCTACCTGATCCTCGTGGCGCGGAGGAACCGGGACAGCTGCTCCTACGTCTGCAGCCTCCGGGGCGCCGAGAAGCCCGTGTGGAAGAAGAGGGGGACCTGGGGAAGGGGAGGGGTGACCACCGCGGAATGCCAGTGTGCTGTTTAAAATAGACGGATCGGTTTGCGTGTTTGTGACCTTGAGGGCTTCTGGTCCGTTTGTCACTTCAGGGGGCAGTTTCCAGGCCCCCAGGGGCAGGTTCACGTTGGAAAGGCCTGGCCCCAGACCAGAGTCAGCTCCTCTTTGTTAATGTTAAAACCTTTTGCCTCCTTCCCTATCACAAAGGTGACGTTTTCATAGTTTCTTTTGTTTGGGGTTTTCTTGAAGTAAGCAGAAACAAAGTTTTTTTTTTTTATTAGGATTCTGAAAGGAAGAGGGTAAAATGTGCAAGCATAATAAAAAGAGTCTTACCTTTCAAAATTTAAAAAAAATCAACAACAACAATGAATCCTGTCTTCTGCCAACAAATGTTTCTGCTTTATGCCAGCCACTGTGTTGGGCACAAATGTTAAAACAGGATCTCTGCCTTCAGGAAGCACACAGTTAGTCCGTGGGGCAGGGGGGACAGAACATGAAAACAAAACAACTTTATTATTCATGGATGCCTTACAGGGCACAGTGGTGGTGGGTGGGAAGGAGGGATCCCATCTTTGATGGGGGATGTGGGCAAGGGACAGGCAGGTGCAGGGCCACCAGAGGTGCCAGAGAGCTAAACCACAGACTGGCTTGAGCACAAGTTTGAGTGTATTTTCTATCCACCTTCCATCTGAGAAGTACAAGGTGTGTGCGTTGACACATTTTCTATGTCAAGAGGGAAGAACTTGCTCTGTTGTGGAGCATCTCACTGAATTTCTATGAAAGTTTTCATAACACATCAGATCATTCTAGAAAGTAGTTTTCAGTAAAAAAAAAAAAGAAAGAAAGAAAGAAATAAGGCTCTTTTCACCCTGAGTAATGAATGCACTCAGCTCCTTAGCAGCCCCACCCTCTGCACCTGAGTTAGTGTGGAAGTCCCTTCACAGCATTTCTCAGTGTCTGAAGCTACAGCACTACTCACAGCCATATTTTCAAGGCAGTTTGGAGGCGAGTGGGAGTCGATTTAGAAGGCACTGGTTCTATCAGGATCTTCCCCGTGATAGAATTAATCAGCTAAGACATCAAGAATGTGTATCCAAAAGACCTAGACTAGAATCAAGACTCAGGCGAGACAATTCAGTGACAAATGGCCCAAAGTCAGAACCAGGTGCCAGGTGCCCTAATTCTAGCCTGGTGCCCTGATTCTAGCCTGTCCTTAGCTTAGCAGACTTAGAGGGATATCCGCTATCTCTCTGGGGCTTCGGTTTTTTAAAACCTGTTAATAAATATGTGTAAAATGAATGAATGAATGAATGAATGAATGAATGGATAAAGGTAAGATAAAGATTGTAATACCTGCACCACTTACTTCATAAGAGTTTAAGCAAGGTAATTACCTTTTGAAAAGATAAAGTGTTTCAAGACACTTGCATTCTGATTTTTCAGTCAGTGGTGATAAATATCTCTTTAAGGGCTTCAGAGTCTGAGAACACACAGATTCTTTTATCATTCAAATTTGTCCTTGACCAGGAGAAAGGAAATTATAACTTGAAGAGCAGGTGTTACATTGCACTTCTGATAGATAATTAGCTGGCTAGGATCCCCCAAAATGGAGCCCCCTATGGACAAGAATAAAAAAAATTGGACGTGGAAAACAGTGAACAGTCTTCAACAGCACCAAAATAATGACAGTCCTAGTCCCTTATACTAATCTACTGGACATGTATAAAATATCTTACATTCTCTCATTTGATTATATACACAGGAAAGGCACTATTTGCTAAAGTAATGGTGTTGGCTCCTGATTTCAGGACAGCATTATGTAGTGAACCAAACATACTCTTTGAAACGAAAGAGGCCTGACTTGTATCAGCTGCATGCCCTTGGACAAAGTATTTTATTATTTTTTAAGATTTTATTTTTTTTAGAGGGAGGGGAAGGAACGGAGAAAGAGAGGGAGAGAAACATCAGTGTGTGGTTGCCCCTCATGTGCCCCCAACTGGGGACCTGGCCTGCAACCCAGGCATGTGCCCTGACTGGGAATTGAACCAGGGACCCTTTGGTTGGCAGCCCCCTGCTCCACCAACTCAATCCACTGAGCCACACCTGCCAGGACTAGACAAAGTATTTTAAAAGCCCAAGTCACAATTTCCAGTCAGTGGTGAAATGGATCTAGCCTTTCACACCCAAAATCATAGGTGGTGTAAGAAGTAAATGAAGTTTTTCATATACATAGCACGTGCCCAAGGGCAAACCCTCAGAAATGTTTGCATTCCTGTCCTCATCCCCAGCATACTTTGTAGAGTAGGGTTCACATCAGGTGCCATGAAAATACTAAAAGAGGACACTCACATTTTCCGGAAACTCAACTTGCCAAAAAGAAAGCTTTACCAAGGTCTTCTAACCTCATCCTGCTTCCTATGTGTCTTCCTTGATGGCTTTTCCTGAAGGCTCGGACCTCGTAGAGCGCTAACCTGAATCCTTTGAGACTTTCGAAGGTGTGTGTGTATGTGCAGTCTGACCTCGGTAGTGTACATGTTCCATTTCTTCTGACGTTATAAATGTTCGCCCAGGGTTTCACCTCCCAGCTCTTCTCCCCAGCCTCACACCCCCCTTCCCTCCTTCGTTACCCCTTTACTCTCTGCCAGGTGTTTTAATCCTTGGGCAAAATCCTCCAGTGAGAAAAACTAAATATATACGATGAGAATTAATACATAAGACAAGCTGCTTCTCTTTCATACTCCAGTATGTTCACCTCTGGGGAGGAGTTCCTGCACCCTGTCAATCCTCACCCCGCCAGCTGTCTCACTTCTTTGTGCCAGGACAGTTTTATAACATGTGGCACAAGTAATATACTATTATTTTTTACTTGTCCATTTTCCTCTTCCACTGGGAGATCCTTGGCCCTAATGTCCACAGACACTGCACAAATGCTACGCTGCAAGGGAATGAATGAACGGAACTCCTGTGTTTTTCTCTGCCGATGCATGTTTCACTGCCTAGTGGGAATGGCTGTGGGCAGGGTACTATGAGGAGCACCCTGCAGACCAGTGTGGAGAAGACCTGAGTCACCCATGTGCTGTGCGCCCTGTCCTTGTGCCACCTCATCTCTGACCTTCAGCCTCCTGTCTATGTCTGTGTCCACCCTGTGAGCTCTGACTACAAAGAAGGAACCCAACTCCTTCACAGTGTCAGCTTTGCCAGCGTGCTGGGTCCTGGTACCCAGCTCGTTTTTATACAAAGTATCTCACTGGATTTACGAAGGGATTATAGGATCTTGGGAAGAAAGAAACATTTTTTTTCTTTAGCGTATGTTTACCTTGGCCAGAGAGAACAGACAGGTGAGAGAAGGAGAGCTGACCTGCAGACTATAGAAGGATGCCTTTGGCAATGTCAACAAAGCCTGCAGTGGACCTATTGATGTTTGCTTCTATGGTTCCTTCTAAATCAATAAGTGAAAAATGTGTGTTGAAAACCTGCATGAGAGGTGCGTTGATGGTGGCTGGGAATCTGTGCCTCTTACATCTTGTTGCATCAGCGGCCCAACTTGATGATGATCCTTTGGACGGTGTAATTTCACTCTATGAAATTTTTTCTTTTCTACTCCTGCTTATCTTTTTCCTCCTCCTCCTTGGGTTTGATCACCATCGTCATCAACACTGTCATGGCTTTGTTTGTGCTCTTCCTTCCATCCCTGTCCTATGTGACTAATTCTTACCCAGCTTCCTGGCTCCAATGTCCCCTCTTGCCTTCCTCAAAACTCCTCTCCGTGCTCCAGTAGCGTTCTGTCTATTACACCCTCATGGTACTTAACACTAGCACTGCCCATTCAGGTGGTTAAGTGGCTGATTCTTCACCTAACTCAAAGGCAGGTGTTCTATGTTAGATATATATTTTATATAAAATATATAAAGCACTTAGAGTACTGCCTGCAGGCAGTAAAACTCAATAACTATTAGGAGTTATTGTTGTCGGTAACCCCCCTCCTACTGTTATATTCCCCGGCACCTAGGAGGTACTAAGTGAATGCTTATTTTATTGAATTGGAAAATAACGACAACAAAACCGCCCTCCATGGAAACCTAATTACATCTTGCCTTATGCTAGCTTGACTTCAGTGCCAGTGCTGGACTCGTGGTGTGGCAGAGGAGGAAAGCCAGAGAGCGGATTGGGAAGAGCAGGCCACAGCTAGCTAGGATATTTAAATACATTGTCAGCGGATCTCAGCTCCATTTCCAAGGGGCCATGAGGCACATCTTGACTCACAAAATAGACGAGTCAAGGGGAAGTGTCCTGCATGCTCAACTGTACATATAATCCCAGGCACAGCCTCCACCTTGCCACCATCTCTTCCAGGGTCCTTCATATCTCCAGTACATGTTACTCTGGGTGATTGACTATTTCCTCTTCCAGTTGAAGGCGCTTACACCCCCCACAAGCTGGAGCTGACATTATCTCAGGAATAAACATCTTGTGAGGAACTAGCGTCCAGCTGCATGATGTTTATTTACAACTCTCTTGAGAAACTGAGGCACAGAACCAAATTGCTTTTGCCAGTCTTTTGAGAACTCCAACTTGACCTATAAAAGGACGGAGTAGCCGGAGAGTGGGTCCCACTGCCAGATCACAGTCTCACACTGTGCCCAGCCAATTTGGCTCCTGGACACCACTCTATGGCAGAGGAGAGGATGGGAGACTAGTCTTGCTAGTAGATTTCTGCTCGTAAATTTCCCCAATAAAGTCTGCTTTTGCATAACACTGAGATGGCCGCCATTACCTTCCATCCCCATCAAGGACTCTCCTTAATTTCCTCCGTCACGACAGGAGATACGTATCATCAGCCCCTTTAGCAGTTGAGGGATCTGGAACTCAGTCAATTTAGGTAACTTGCTCAAGGATGGGCAGTGAGTGGAGAAGCAAGGATTCGAGGCCAGGTTTGTCTGACACCAAAGCCTTCGTGCCTTGGCTACCCGCCTTGTGTGCAGCTACCCCTCCCCATGAGGAGGAAGATGATATATTGCTAGAGGAGAAGA